CTATATGTACAGATTTAGTTGTATAAGAATAAAAAATAATAGTAAAGCCAACAATAGATGCATTCAGTGGCATTAACAACACGAAAATATTGTAATATACCTAGTGAAGTTTACTATTTACGTATGTACGAGTGAGGAAATTTTATCACAATTTCCATTTTAAATTATTTAGATTATATAAACATATAAAGCTGTTTATAATGTATTTATTATTAAAACATTCATAAATTACTGTTTATAAATAATCAGAGGAAAGTAAAAAAAAGTATTCACCCTGTCTAGACTTACAACAATCTATTTTAAGTAGTTCGATGCATAAAATAAATAATAGATTATTGAAAATTTTCTCATAAACAATGTAATATTTCTCCCAAATTTTGTTACTCTGATTGTTGTCCTCCTTCCTTCCCTCTCCTAAAAAATATTAATATGGGACCGCTACCAAGAGCGGATCTACGGGGGGGGGGGGGCTTTGCGTCTGAAGCTCCCCTCCTCCAAAATGGTAAAATATTACCATATTTATGGAAAAAAATTATCTCTTAAAGTATTATTGTTCGTGTAATCTCATTTAAAAGGACTTTAGAAATCACTTAGACACCATTTCATATAGGTAGTTAGTTTCTTTTTTTTCCAAAGTAATTATCATTATTTTTATGAAAAAAAAAGCTTTCGGGCTGAAGCCCTCCCCAAAATTAAATCCTGTATCGAAGTGGACGCTACTATGCATTGCACTCAGTATGTATGCACATAGAAATGATTATTTGTTAGATATATATGTGGTACATTATTTTTAAATTGCTGAACTTGTACTCTTGTGTTGTTTCGAGTGCATTTGATAAAAGAGTAATGCGAAAGATAATCTCCCACTTATTTACTATTAATTTCCTCGTTTCATAAAAACATTTATTATTACAAAACATGGAAGTCCATGTGAGGGTTAGAAAACAACACTCTCTTCACCAAAGCCATTGATCAGTTGTGCACTGACAACTGTCCATTTATGTTATTCTACTAGAAGATTTATTTTAAATTATTCAACAAGTCTTTAATGCCTTCCCTTTTATAATCAAAATATAACACCAAGCAAGAAAAATAAATATTATATTAGCACTATGTAACAAATATGTATATTTTTTTGTTGTTACATAGTGCTAAAATAATATTAATTTTTCTGGGTTGGTGTTATATTTTTATAATAAAAGGGGAAAATCATCTAAAATTTTAATTATCAATTTTAATACAAAGTTTCTCATACATACATTTAATTAGTGATAAACATAATAAAGTAAAGTTTAATAGAGTCCTGAGATGATTTAAGTCATTTAGTACCTAATTTTAAAATAAATTTAAAATTTTCAATATTGTTTGATTGTTTTTAATAAGTAACCAATCCGAATGAAGACTTTAAACTCCGAGTATAACTCATTTTGTCAATATACAATTTACCAAACAATTGTTTTACAGCAGCATAAAAATTTTAACAATTGGACAATTTTAGGTAATGGAGATCTTTATGCGCAAATTTAATGTTCTTTTGTCTGTTTTTATGTTGATATTGTTCATTTTTTTTCGATTTTAACAATGGTAATAATATTTAAGGAGTTCGTGCTGTAATTATAAAATAACTTAAAATTTAGTCTTGCATGTATAGAGCCGAAATTGAAAAAGGGCAAAAATCATTCACACTTCCTCCGAACGAAATTAATGGCCGAACAATTTTGGACGAAGTTGTATTTTTAGGTTAAATTAAAAAAAAAAAAAAAAAATCACGTTTTTGATTGATTTTAATTTAGTCAATAAAATGAATTTTCGTTATGACGTGTTGATGTATACTTTGACTTTTGGTTTTAGTCATACGGCTTTTAGAAACCCAAGAATATATATGATCTTGATGAAATTCTTGATCATGTTTCAGCAAGCAGGAAATGAGTCAAGTTTCGTCGGATTCATACCTAATTCGCTCTTGTGAGGTTTACTGTTAGGGAATACTGCTACACTTGTTTTATGTATTTTTTTTATTAAATAATCATGTCTGGCGATGTTTTTGTGATTAATTTCATTGGGATGCATAAAGATTCATAGTGAGCAAATGTGCCTTTTTTTTTTTTTTGGTCAAATATATTTATATTTCAATAGAAAGTAAAACTCTGGTTGAATTAAGTTTAAAATTAAAGGATTTTTATCTCTTATGTCATTGTGACTAATAAGGTTGTTTAACGCAAACTACACGAATGCTTTCCTCTAAAGAGTTCACCATCTATGTTGGATTTCAAAATACCTTCAAACCAGTTCTTCTGTTGTTATAATTAACCGAAAGAGAATCCCGTGCAGATCCCGTTCTGTGGGCACAGGAGCCGTACATTGATTCCCATCACTAATCAAGAACATCGAACACGTCCATTAAACGTGACATGATTTTGGAAGCATTGCGTGGTGGGTTCTCATAATGCTCAGCCCTCTTATGACTCATCTTGAAAATTGATGTAATTAAATTGGCACATCAATGGTTGGAACCTTAAACCAATTACAGAATGCTGAATTTAATCTGTTCGCTATTGAATGATATATACACAGCTCCTGATACTAAACTTGCAAGTATCTTAGTTTTAACAAGAGCTTGATGGCTACGTTTTTACTTAACATTTCAGTTAATTTTGAATGAATGCTCGTCGTGACTGTCCTATTGGTACAGATGGGAGGAACTAGACCGTCAAGTCGTCCTCGTTATGGTCCTTTTTGCTAACTCCTGACAGCTACTTAGTAATTACGAGAGTGGGAATGTCAAGATTTATTCTTCGGTGCCGCCGAAGAATGAAAATTAACGGATGGGAATGTAATCGAACCCACAACGTTTAGAACCAGGTTTTCTGAGACCAGTGCCCCAACGTGCACCGGTATCCCATCCTCTTGTGACTTTCCTAATGCTTAACTTTTTAGTTTAAAAAATCTTGAGATAAATTTGAGTAATTCTTCTTTTACAAAAGCTTCTTTTATTACAGAATTTATGGTCTAATTCTAAAACATTCTTTCCAAAGATACCTAAGCTTGAAGTTTATATACTTACCATTTCAGGGATCAAGGAATATTTTTCAAGGTCAGGAACAAAGTATGCTTTATCGGTTTGGAAAAGATATTAGTTGAGCTCCAGGACAATCCAACCAGAAGCAAATGCTTATTTTTGGGGGGGGGAGGTTCTTTTTTATTGAAAAAATAAAATATATATTTTTATCTCATAATGGTAAACAAATATTTGTATTTGTACATAGACTGTATTAAGTAACCGATATTTTTTTGTTTCCTAGAGATAGACTTAATAAACAACCAAGAAACAAAACTTTAGTAGGTATGCCAATCTTCGTCCCTGTCGGTTGGTGGGAAGTCAGTGATCATCAACATCCATTAGCCTGGAGAGCGCGGTGCCCAACAAGCTGATTGACTGAAGATAAAATAATCACAGTTTGCATCCTGTAATCCGGTACCAGAGAGCTTTTAACTCTGGCATTGATCTCCTGCCTTCTACCTTGATCTGTAACAAATTCTCTATATCCTAAAGGGCGAAAACAAAAAAAAAAACCTTACCCTTTGTAAGGTAACTATAAATTACTTTCTGTTAGTCGTTAACTTATTCAGAGATGGGCAGTTGGCTCACGAATTTATCACTCTTTTTACAGAGTAGATCAATCTTTTTTATTCTTTTTTAAGATGTTCTATCGACCCAATATAAAATGACTTATATAAGCCCTTTGAAAAACTGTTAATTTTATATTATTTATAAAGGTTTTTAAACTAGACCATTACCTCTAGATAAATTTATTATCTCATATTCCTGAAACGATGTCCCGCGAATAATACCCTAAAAGGTGCCCATTGCCAAACAAATAAACCAACAATAGATATAATCATTTTGTATTTTGTAAAATAAATCCGGAACCTCCAAACTTCAGACTAACATAGGCTTACCAAAAATAAAACAACCCGGCCTACCAATTATTTTATTATGCTGTAAAATGTACTGTAAAAATCACAAAATAATAATTTTTCGTCTAGCACTGACATCATCATATTATTTTCTCCTCAAGCCCAGGCCTCAGGCCAACTTTCCACTCCTACACTAATAAATTCCTCGCTTTCTTAACCTCTTTTGGAGAAATAACTGACATATAAAAGTAATAGTAAAAAGACCAAACGTAATTGATGATATAATTATGTTGCTATGATGAGCTGGTCTTAATTCTTGGAACTTAGTGAAGGAGTGAGTGCAGCTATAAGGCTAAAAGATTTAGTGACCTCCTGTAATACATAATACTGAAAATACCAAGAAAGGATCAAAGTTAACATGTAACGTTGATAATATAAGAAATATATTCAATTGTTACCAATTGGAAGTAATTATTGCCACATAACTAAGGATCTTTTTTTAATCTTATTGGGAAAATTAAGACATACATTTTTAAAAAATAATTTATTATAAAAATGTACATGCTAAATAAATAAATAACTTCGTAATTAAATAACAAAATGGCTTTCTACATTGGCAAATAAAACTAAACTTTCCAGATCATTTGAATCACTTAACGACACTATGATAACAATCAAAACAATATGTTCTGATTCATAGATGTCTCCACAATAACATTTATTTAAATAAGGATACTAATATCAACCTATGAGGAAATCTTTTTTAAGGAAATGCCCATCATAAAATTAAAACTATAAATAATAAACTATTATTAAAAAAATATAATCTTAATTAAACTTATTTACAAAAGATTTAATTTATGGATTTTTTCCCCTTCATTCAATACCTTCAATTATTGTATAGAAAGATAAAACTGAACTGCTATAATTGTTAAACTCTTAGAGTTTATTGATTCCCCCTTCCCTCCCATAATATAGTTAATAATGCGCCAAGCATTTCATAACTATTCAGACCCGCCAAATCTTAACATTTTTGTACATTTAACTTAAAACCACAAAATGAGTATCACACAATATTAAATCTATTTTCGCCCTGATTCTCCACCAATTATTTTTTTCCTCTGAGAGACCATGTGAAGATACAGCCTTGGAAACACTGAAATTAATAATAATAAAACATTAAAATACAATGCATTGATAAACAATTAATTTATATACTGTAGGGTGAAAATTTCTAATTTCATAAGTTTACTTACATGGTAAATAAGATGCCATAATGGCAAGCTGAAAATAGTGATAACTAAAAGTGAAATTTGCCACATTAGGTAGATCCATCGACCATAGATGGTGCTGTTTCACAAATTTCTGAGCAGCATAAAAACAAAGAAGTTCACCTGTTACTCCGACAGGGTAAAGAACATAGAAGAATGTGTATCTGAAAACAAAAAAACATTAAATTGAGGATGAAATAATGTTAGTTTGTGTTCATAACATTAATACTTAAATCAGAAAATAACACATGTATCAGTGTTTCAAAAAGAAATAAAAATTCAGTAACGACTCTGTTTAAGAATATGCAATAAGGGTATGTATGAAAGAGAGATTCTCTAAATCTCTTTTCGAACAATTAAATTTTCATTTCAAATTTGGTTTAAGTTCGTCTTTCTCATAGCGAACTTGCCTCCCAAACAAAACTATTTTCTTAATATTTGTGAAAGAAAGTTCAACTTAATAAAATATGTAAAAAGGATGAAAAACAAATAAGTAATAAAAAAATGTGAAGTTGTGATAAGTAGGGTATTAACAATTATAAAAACCGTGATGTTGTTATTAAAACTTTAAAGCTTCGGAGGAGATTGCAAATGACTAAACTTCAAAAGTGTTATTTATTAAAGATGGGCGAGAAAATAAACTAAGTAAATAAACTGAAGTTTCAGCTACTAAACATATTATTTTTCTTTTGTGCAAAATGGTGTTTAGTATTGGGAAAAAATTATACTAATAATTATCTACATAGATTTTGGGAGTCTTATGTTATATATACACTGTTTATATCTTTTTTTTTTTTTTTTTTTTTTTTTTTTTTTTTTTTTTTTTTTTTTTTTTTTTTTTTACACTGTTTATATCTATAACAGGAGTATGAGAACAGCTATTACATAAATCACAGGTGGATCTACGGGGGAGGGGAGGGACTTTCGGGCTGAAGCCCCCCCTCTCCCCATAATGGTAAAATATAATCATGTTTTACAGAAAAAAATATTAAAAACTATCTCTTAAAGTATTATTGTTTGTGTAATTACATTTAATAGAACTTCAAGAATCTCTTAAACACTATTTCATATAGGTAGTTAATTTTTTTCATGTAAAAAAAAATTAAATATCGTGATATATATGATAAAAAAAAGTTTTCAGGCTGAAGCCCCTCAAAATTTATTCCTGGATCTGCTAGTGATATACATTGAAAACTATTACATTAATGAAAGTCTATTCAGAGGTGAGATAAATGAATAATGATAATAATAATTCAAAATAGGACTAGGCCATGGAACGAATGTAATTTTAAAATTAAAATCAGAACACAAATTTATATTTTGTTTATTTATATCCAATCAATTTGCACTTATTAAGAGATAAAATCTTGTGATAAATAATTAAAATATTAAGGCTAGATGGGAATTCAACTACTACAAAATGAAACCAGTTAAACATTCCAATGTTATTATATTCTGCAATTTGCAATACATGTAAAGATTAAAATAAATCTAATCATTATAGATTTGTTAACTCACCTACACCAGACTATAAAAAAAGGAACTTTGGTATAAATGTTGACTGCATAGTAGAGGTATCTAATAATCTCTGTAACCGACCAGGCAATTAGAAGGAGAAGTAATCCTATACTTCGAGGAGCAGTTGGCGTAACAGAAAGTACACCGCAAACAACCATAACCCGGGAAGCAACTTGCATCGCAGTTATGACAACATTAGATTTCACTAATCCAAGCATTACGTGCAAAACCTGCAAAAAATACATCAAAATTATAAAAACAATTATAAAAGCCTTTATTGACAACATGATTACTTGTACAATGCCATGTCTTGTGGAACAAAATAAATAACATTCAAATATATTATCATAATCCAGCTCCCTCTACTGCTGAACAGTGTACTATATAATGTACTAATAATAAATATTTATTATTCAAATAATGATCAATCATGTAGACCTAATGAATAATTAATCCATTAAAAAAAATGTATGTAATCGTTTTCTTATTTTTAAAATGTTTATTCATTGTTTATAAATAACCATATGAATGATTTTTTTTTTTCGATTTATGTGAATAAAAAAGTTATAATTAACGTTGTTAAAATAAAACCAACATAACCTTTTTTATAATGGGGAGACTTCATTATAATTAATTGTCTAACTAATGTATTTTACTGCTTTAAAAAAAAGATGCATTATCTTTTAAATCTAGGCCAAGAATTAATTATTAATTGCTAACCTCTAATATAATACTATGATACTCAGAAAAAAGATAAATCTGTATAGATAGAAATATACAATTTCAGTGTTTTATTTTCTCAATAAATTTAAAATTTTAGATCTAAGTTAGTTCTACAAGCTTCCATCACTTTTATTTTAAATGAAACAATTGTTTAGGTTTATGAAACAATATTTGATGGATATTGTTTGAATAATATCTCATAAATCCAATAACTCTTCAACTTATGTGAAGTATTATATATATAAGATTTTACTGTTATTTCACAGTTATCCATGTATTATGTAGATTGTTTATCAACAAAATGATAGGTTTATTTTTTTTTTTTTTCTTCAAGATTTCAGACAAAATCTTATTTTTCCAGCACAATTATGTTAACATACTGATAATTATTTATCTATAATTTAATTAGATTACTTATGTTTTTTTCTTTATATTAATTCTAATATTACATCACTTTTTAATTTATTTATTTCTTGTCATTTTAGGCAGACAGATTGCACTTCTATTTTTCACTATTATTTATTATTACTTATAGGGGACCAAATGTTCCAGAATAAAATTTGCTTTTCTTTTTCTTTCTATATTGAATTATTCTTTATATTTTATAAAAATAGATAAGATGTTCTAGATATCAATTAACTAATACATACATACAAATACATCATTTAAATGTAAAAATGGATTTAATTCCAAGATTAATATAAAACTTCCTCCTTTGTTTTAGAAAAGTTATTAATACCTAATCAAATTTTAATTAGAATAAAAAATACAAAAGACCAACTAAAATAAAATACAAACATAAATGATTAATGATTACTAAATCATACAACAGTGCATTACCTCCAAAACAGCTGCATTTTGGAATACCATCAATGTAAATTTAACTGCTTCCCATAATGATGAAGAATCCTTTCCGGAGGCGTAATGAATCACTACTTGATATAACAAATAACTCCACCTGAAATTTCCAACATGTTTAACTTAGGCCAATAAGATGAAGCTATTTTTATGATTTTTAAAATATTTCGGTACATAAAAATAATGATAATAGTAGTATTAAAACTGTATTAGTGTTTTAAAAAAAAGCTTTAACAAGAAATATTTATCATAATGACTGTTTTATTTTATTTTAATCCTAAAATTTCCATTACACCCTGACTTTTTTTCTCCCTAACAATATTTTATGACAACAATTGAAATATTAAAATGAAGTTTTTGGTTTTTGAATGGTGGCCATTAATGTCGTTCTCTATTTGTAAGACAACTATACTTTGGTTCATTTTGTTAATATTTTAGCATCAGTGTACTAAAGTGGTAAACCCCGCACTGTGCTAATTCAAGTGTTTTAAAACATCAGCAAAACTTAAAATTATAATAAAAACCCAGAGCCAATAATTAGAGACTAAAAATAATGGAGAACTAATAATAATTTATTCAACATTTCATAATTTTCTTAAAAATGAACATATCTTATTTAATTTCTCAAAAAAAAAAAAAAAAAAATATATATATATATATAATATATATATATATATTAATATTATATATATATATATATATATATTGATGAAATACAACATTTGGATCTGATGATAGTTAATCTGATGATTAACTAAACGAATAACTCAATGAAAAAATTAAAAACATCTCAAGTTGTTTCTTTTCTTGAGATATCTACAATCAATGATTCATTTATTTATTAATTGGATTGTTTGATTCAACAACATAGCATAGTGAACCTAACAGATAAAGCTAATTCTATTTAAAAAAATAATCAATTTATATTTTTAATTTTTTTTGTTTAAGACTTGTTCTTTATTAGAAACAAACTTAAAAGTTGGTTCTATTTTCTGCAGATTCATTTATCTGTAACTCCAACATGTTATGCCTACAGGCCATTATCACATAACAATCTTATCACTAAAAAATCATTACTCAATAATTTGCCTACATCTTTCATACTTCAATAATATTTAATATATTTCTTTCAATTTTAGAACAATTTGCCAATCATTGATTTATTTTTTTTAGAAATAATAAGATTCTTCTTTGATAATGGATGAAACATTTAAATTGCACATAGACAAATAAAACTAGGATCAACTTGAAGTTCAGTACAAACAAATAATTAATAATAAAACATTAATCAGTTTTATCCCTTTTAAGTTTCCACAAATTTCTGTCAATGAATTTGGAATATTCATTGGATTTTTGTGTTTAAAATAAATATAGTCAAATATCCCCTTAATATTACTAAAACTTTTAAAGAGGATCCTTACCAAAATAGAATTTTTAATGAAATATATGAAAGGCGAATTTGAACTTTTATTTATTTATAACAAATAATATATCTAATCACATCAGTAAAAACTGATCCATAAAACAATTAAGTATAGTTCAAAATAAACATAATACAATAAAGTGGACCAGTAACAACAAATCAACAGTACATCAATTTTAATACAAAATTTTCATAGAAATCTGTAAATATTTAGAATCATGTTACACTTGCATAAACCAAATGTTAGTAAACAGTTTAAAGTGAAAAGTCTGAAGGAAAACTAGCTAGTGGAAAAGCAGTAATTAGAGCATAAAATAGTTTCTTATGCCTCAATTTAAGCCATTCATTTAAAACTACTTAAACATAAAGAATTATAATAAATTTCTTAAGGCAGTGGAATTTTATCCATCATTAATCTTTCATGATGATCAGCTCACCTCAGAATGATTTCAAAATAATTGACTACTAATTATAAAAGTGCTTATCATCATGGTTTGGTAATGATTGGCCAACAGCTAATTACAAAAAGTGTTCCAAACTAATTGCTGATATAGGTAGAACACAAATGGTCTTTTTGTTTTGTTTTTCAATATACATCATTGGTTTATCGCTTTTGAGAAATCGGAACATAATACACATAGTGTAATTATTTCGGGCCCATTAAACAGTCTCATTTAGATGTACTTTTTTTTGTTTTCGCATCTATAAATAAGATTGAAATAAACAAAAGCATACACAAATGTTCAGCTTCATCAAAAATGCACTTCATGAATTTTTACAATAAACCATTGGTATCTTTATCTCTCACAAATAAAGCATGTTGAAAAGAAATGGATCAACTTCATAAAAGATCTATTTTTTTTCTGTAGTTTACTCCTCACTTTGTCAAGCATTAAATGATTAAAAGATATACTATATATCTATTCAAAGCATAAATATACTATAAGTTATATCTGAAGAACAGAATGTTCTAAACTCACCCTAGGAACTGAAGAGCATTGTATGAGAACAAATACAATTTCACCATTGGGCTAAGGACAGGGGATGGGGCCCTTTTTTTAACATTATCCTCTGAAGCCATTTCGTTAGATACGAAAGTTTCTTGTCCAAGACCGCCAGCAGCTCAGCAACAAGACCCTTCCACCACAAATTATTATCAGGAACTGATTATAACTGGTGACTTTCTCCGAGAGCGTGTAACCTTGGTGTTCCCTCCCACTTTCGGCCTGATAATGGAGTTAATTGTTCTCTGTAGGTCAGGAGAGGAGGTTGTGGGATAAAGTGAAGAAACCATTTACATAAAGTGATCAGATACTTCTTACATATCTCAAACAATTATATTTTCGATAAATGTGTTTAAATTTTGTTTTATTTTTATTGAAACAATAAGAGTATAGAATGAATTATTTTTTTAAATATTATTAATTGTTTATTTTGTCCTGTGTAAGGTATGGTATTTTTTTATTCTGACGTGTATCTATTGACGGCAGAATGAACAAAATAAATTAAAATCAATTTAAAAACTAAACTTCCTTTGAGAGAGTCAAGAGGGAATGGCAGAAAAGTGGTAAGCGAGAATCAGAGCACCAGTACTCGGAAAAATTGTTAGGTTTTATATGACACTAAAAAAAAATGAAATATCATTAGCTATAACGTACATATTCGGCTAATGTACTCTGTAATACAGAGTCTGTATACACATATGTGTATAGAGCATCTCACTGTAGGTTTAGACAGCTAAATAAAGAAGATGGTTTGGTGAGCAATGATAAAGTAAAAAGAAAGACATCGCTTGGGGCTGAGGGCGTTTACTTTTGAAGCCCCTTAAAAATAAATAAATAAAACCAATAAAAAAAAGTCCGTAGAAAAATGCTTGTTAATTTATAAAGAAAATTCTCTAAAAATTTAATCTCCATATTTTTTTTTTACATGGCATAACAAACGCGATACAGAATTTTAAACACCGTTTATACATTTTCTATTAGAACATGGACATCTAAATTGAAAATGGCCGGTTGATTTTTATTTTAAACATGTTCAATTTTCATTTTTATTTCAATCTTACACTTTTTTTTCTCAATATTCTTTACTTTTCATCAATAAAATTATCCATAATAACCTTAATGTTTAATTAACGTAAACTTCAAACCCATCCGAATACATTAGTTTCTAACATGGCGTTGTCTTCGATTCCTGACAACCCTCATTGGCTTCTAAAAAGAAGATGGCCTTGGGACCTTCTATTATAGATCTATAATTGGACTGCTACTAATGGGTAGTTTCTCTTCTCATCTGTACTTGCCATATTCCAATTCTCATTAACGTGAATTTGTTTAATGCAGTTTTCAATTTCAATTTTAAAAAAAAGTCTTACAGTTTAGTAATAAAGAGATGTAGTATGGTAGATCTTTTAATAATGGTGGAATGATTAAATTTAAATTATTATTGATAAAATCGATCAGTAGCGTATCCAGGATTTATTTATTTTTTGGAGGGAAGGAGGGAGAGGTTCTTTTCCTTTTTTATATAAAATTAGGGAAAAGAAAGAAATCTGGTGCGCGCATCACACAACACTCACTTACTGTTTTACTTTGAATAGAAATTATTTTTTGGCAATGTTATGTTATTATAAAATTTTTGAAGGGCTCTTTTAACGGAACTAAAGCTTAAGTCTTGCTGCATAGAACTTATTAATACCATTTTAATAAAACGAACCATATTAATTATATCGACGGTTGCCAATAAAAGCCTCGTAACTCTGCTTTTGTAAACCAAATAACTCTAGTTGCTGAGCTATAAATGCCTAGTGAGATTTGAAAGTAGATCTGTATATTAAACCAATAAATGATTATGGATTATACTACTATTAGTTTTAAAACTCTTATTTTTCTATTATATAAAGTTCACTAAAATAGAGTTCCGAGATTTTCATTGCCTACAATCTGTAATTGAATAGTTGTCATTAATTGTAAGTGGATAATGTTCTGATTTCACAAAAGGGAAAATTCTTTTAATTATTTCATTCAATTGTCATGTGTGATTTACATTAAATAATGTTAGTTTTCAAAAATTATTATTTATATTTTTTCGTCACTCACCGTCACCTTCGACAACTTCAATTAATAGATATTATTTTTTCTAAAATTCTCCGCTTTCCAACGACATATTATACCTATACCTTTTAACTATTATTTCCGGAGATTCATTTTCGATCTGAATAAGCATTTTTCTTTTTTTCTTCTATATTCAATAATCAAATTCTTTCAAAAGTTATATTTAGCCTTTTTTCGTAACTTCTAACGTGGAGAGATAGTTAACTATTTAAAATAAACAAAATTAAAGATACTTTAAAGGAAGACGTTTTGAAGGTTGGCCTAAATGATATTAAAGATTACTTAATTTTTATATTGATACTCCGAGTTTAATCGAAATTTTTAAAGCCATTTTTGAGAAAATTGTAAAAATGTGTAATATAGATGATATAAAGTCGCACTTCCGGTTATCCGATTTTAATAAAAAAGTTGTAACATCCCAGGCATATAGCTGACTTAAATTTGTGTTTTCATTTTCGTACAAATTTTGATTTTGAGTTAGATTGATAACATACACATACACATACAGACCATTTTGCGGGACTAGATTATTTGAACTCAGAGGACCTCAAAACGTTTATTTTCGTTGAAAATTCAGATTCGAAAATTAACACGATTGTAATATTTCCCTTACGATATATTATATATGTAGGTAAGTGAAAGTAAAAATTGACTTTATGAAATGATATTTAAATGATCCTTGAAGAAATAAATATAGAAAAACTGTACATGCATTGAAATTTAAAAATATAATATAATTGATTGTTTCTATATTTAGCTGAGATCGCTCACATATACAAATATATACCTTTTCGAAACCAAAATTATTTTTATATTTTGATGGTAGAGGACTTCATCCTGAAATCCTCCCTCTCCACCTGTAGATCCGCTAGTGGTCTTGATAACTGTTGTGCTAAATATCTCAACGCTATTCACATTCTAATATCTATGGTTGAATAAAATCGGTGGAATCACAAGATTATAAAGATCACGAATTCAGGGCGGTCCTCCGTTGGTTAAAGTTAGTCATTACGAATTATAGTTATCTTGATTGTGTACCTACTGATAATACGTGCTATTGAATACAATATTAAATTCTTTACTCAGCGTTTCTTCTAAACAGATAAGGTACACATATAACTAGTTGGTCCGTGCGAATAATTCGCAGATAATTTTTTTTTATTGAAGAAATAGCAAAACAATATGGAAATAAGTAGATCCTATGTATTATGTAAATAAGGAATTCATATTCCTTGGTCGATTACAATATTCCATTTAACATAACAGACCACAGTATTTATACAAATTGTTTTGCTTAGACCTATATTTAAACGCTGACTGCAAAGATAATAAAGACAAAATAAAGCCCTCATCATGGGATTTTCTAAATTATTAAACAAAATAAAATGTAAGAACAAACAGATGCCTTTATGAAATATTAAAGTTAATATATATGCGAGGAAAAAAAAGTGTAGTAGAATGGTAAATGTAATATCTTTAAAGAGGAAGAAATTATAAAGCATACCAAAACTAATGGACTGTATCTTTGTTAATATTTTACGACTTTTTGTTTTTTTGTTTTATAGGTAATTTAGTAATCTTTCTTATTATCATGGGTACATTCCAGAAAATAACGTTTCTGGAACGTTCGCAAATAAAGTTTCTTTTCCTTCATAACTTTTTTTCCAAAACTTTCGAGGGGATAGGACTATTTTTCGCATGTGAAGGAGAAGAATATCTTCAAAATGAGTGGTCAATCATTGGATTTGATGAAGAATTGAGGAAGTTGTGGCGTACCAAAAAAAAAAAAAATACCTTTTAGAAATAATATAGAAGGCTGGGCTGAGATAGTCGTCATGGCAAAGACTTCACTTTTCATTATAAGGTTTTTGCCTGGCGTTAACTAAAGCAATCAATGTTTCTACAACCGTTGGAAAGCTGAATTATCGCAATACAAATTCGTATTCGAGGGTCTTCCGAGCTGCGAAATACAAATCTCAACTCTGTTTCTCCTTAAAAAAATATTTCAACACACTTTACTCCTCCCGTCAATACAAATCGTTTAAATTATACATATTTCTAATTGGTTTTTTTCTTTCTTTTTTTTTTTGTTTTGTAGGTAATTTAGTAATCTTTCTAATTGTCATGATTACAATCAAGAAAAAATGTATATTTTTGAGTTATTCGCAAATAAAGTTTCTTTTCCTCCATAACTTTCTCCACAGATATTTCGTGGATAGGACTGTTTTTCGCATGTGAAGGAGGAGAATATCTTCAAAATGAGTGGTCAATCATTGGATTTGATGAAGAATTGAAGAAGTTATGGCGTACCGACAAAACACCTTTTAGAAATAATATATAGGATTTACTTTTTGATTAGTGGCGTACGTAACACCCAAGGGTGGACAGATAAATCATGAAACGGAAACAACTAATTCAAAGTTGAGGAGGTATGTCATTTCATTTGATGAATAATATGAATAGTAATGCAAGCCTAATGTGTATTTTCAAAATTTCTATCACAATCGTGCATAATTTTTTTCGAAAAGAAATTGAGTAATAGTGTGTTTTTAGACTTATTTTTAAATTGTCAAGCTTCCTTCTTATTTTACCAATATTTATAGTTGCTTTATAAAGCACATATAATCATCAATCTAACCGTGGTTACGCCATTTTGAAATAAAATTAATATTATATTTTTTTCTCTTATAGTACGGGCTCCTTTAACGCCATGTTATTATAATTGTGTTTTATATATTCTGGGTAAATAATTGTTTTGTTTTTTTACAATCGACTTAGTTTGGAGTGATGAATTGGCTGGCGTTGCCAAGGAACAAATTGTTTGGATGACATTGCTCGGCAAGGGACCGGCAATTGTAACTTAACTCCCTGTACTCACCTATTTTCTTGAGAGTGCAAAGCTAGAGAGTGTGGGTTTAGCTTTTCGGCGAGTTCCTAAACTCACGACTAATTCCATCGAAGGAATTCA